ACCGCCGCATCATTAGCCAGTCACTTTCTTCCGCGCCCGAGCCAATACCGACGGTGACCTTTGACGACAACTGGCATATCCTGCCCCGGAATCTGCTGCAACCAACGCCTCCTCCAGTAGTCATGCCGCCTCGAGGCCGAAGCACCTCATCTGCAGGTCTTCCGGACAACCCTGAGCAGAGCAAAATGGCATCTCCAACAAGGCCGAGCCTGGATGACAGGCACGCGAATAGCTGGGGTGCAACCACCGTTAACAAGCGGCTGCGCAATGAGGTGTTCAACGACGTCTTCTTGAAGCAGCCAATTCCGATTCACAAGCACCGCCGCCCACACCAAAAGTCGATGGCTTTTCGTAAGCAGCCGACATTGAGGCCAGCTAGCTCCGTACCCGACTTGGTGCGCAGACAGGATCCGTCTGCCGTAGAAGGTCACGCACCTCAAAAGCCTAGCCCGCTTCGGCCAAGCAGCTCCTCGCCCCCTCCCACAGAGAGCATTGCCATGGAGCGCCCGAGCCATCTCGAGGCTGCCGAGGCAGAAGCCGAAGATAGCGATGTCAAGGACGTGACTGGTACCAGTGCACCGGAGCCGGAAACTCTTGCAGACAAGATTATTGCTCAAAAGAAGAAGAGACGTTACTCTGGAACAGGCCTCCGACGGAAGCCACGAACAGTGACGGAGTCTAGAGGACATCTCAAGTACTGGGAAGAGGCGGATGACGCTGGTTATAGAGGTGAAGACGAAGGCGGGCAGTCCCTCATCACGTCCCAAGTGAACTCGCCCATGATCGAAGCGCCAAGCACGAATGGCACAAATGCCAGTGAAGGTGCCGCGAAAGAACTGAGTCTCCCAGTGCCTGCTGCCGATGCATCTCAAGCCGACGTCCCGACCGAAGCTGGGTATTCTACGTATGCGTCAACTGTTCCGTCCGAGGTGCCTAGCCCTACCCAAGAGTTCCGCAGAATCCCGCGACCTGTGAATCCGAAGGAAGCGCAAACGCAAAGAGACTCCCGCGTCGAGTACTTCCTCCTTTTGGAAGATCTCACGGCAGGCATGAAACGGCCCTGTATCATGGACCTCAAGATGGGCACCAGACAGTACGGCGTAGAGGCCACGCCCAAGAAACAAAAGTCGCAGCAGGGCAAGTGTGCCAGGACAACCTCGCGTGAACTCGGCGTGCGTGTATGCGGACTTCAAGTCTGGGATGTCAAGAGCCAGAGCTACGTCTTTAAGGACAAGTACTTTGGACGTGATCTCAAAGCCGGCCAGGAGTTCCAGGACGCTTTGACGCGATTCTTGTACGATGGCGTCGACTACTCGAGCATCCTGCGACACATTCCGACTATCCTGCAAAAGCTGGACCACCTCGAGTCGATCGTCCGAGGACTGGACGGCTACCGATTCTACGCCGCCAGTCTCCTCATGTTTTACGATGGCGACACGACCAGCGAGGGTAATGAATACGATACAGTCGTTGACGATTCTACGACTGACTTTGCAACCGACACGGAGGAGACGTCGGCGTTGCGCGAGAAGAAGAAGCAGAAGAAGAAGCGCGGCATCGACTTCAAGATTGCCGACTTTGCAAATAGCCTGACTAAGGGCGACCTTGCAGAGGGAAAGCCGTGTCCGCCGCGGCATCCCAACGAGCCGGACCGTGGCTTCCTCCGAGGTCTTCGAACGTTGAGGAAATATTTCCTCAAGATCCAGAAGGATATCCGTGCTGAGATGGGTCCGGATTGTCACAGACGAGGTCACAGTATGGATGTTGATGACATTGACATCGACCACGTCTCGGATGAGGAGGGGTCTGTCAGCGAATGATTTAGGGGAAGAGGGAGAGGGGAGAAGGTGTCTCTTTCTTCATGTTGATAATTTGGGAAATTATTTTTATTATTCTGGATCGGGTGTGTGTGGCTTTTATGGAATGGAATGGGACTTGGGGTTCGGCGGAGTCAGGGACGGCATTTGACAACATACCCGGCATCGGTTCGGCGTCACAAATACAGATTTCAAGGCAACTGAGATGTTTTGTACTTTCATTCTGTTTTCTCTGTCTCTCTCGAGTGAGCTTCAGTGGTGGCTGCTGCAGACTTGTGCCGTGTCTGACGTCCGACGTGGGCGTTGCTGATGAGGAATGCTGTGATGCGAAGTATTGGTGAGGGGGGTGTGAAGGCGTTTGCGTTTCTTGTGTTGCCTTTTGGGGTTAGGTTTAGACGTCAAGGTAGACAAAATGAGTAGAAATATTTTACCGTACTTCCCTCCTGAACTGATCCAATGGCCTTTTGTATTCCAATGATAGTACTGAGTCCAGGTGATGGGGGGGAAAGTAAGTAAACGCCACGGCCACGGTCCTCTCTCACTCTTTGCGTCCTGTTTCCGAGTTGCCGGGTTGCCGGGTTTCCGGCCGCTTGAGGTCCGGGCGTCTTATGTAAGCTTCCGACGTCGATCGAAGTATAATATTGGAAGGGATGCTCTTTGCCGGCACACTTGGACACATGGCTATGCTGGTTTCATCCCACATCTCATGACGAACTTGATCAGTGCTCCCATCCATATACTTAGCTCATTCAAGTCCCAGTAGGAGGTTCGTCTTTGGGTAGTAGTACCAAAGGAAGTGGGCCGCCACCAAGAGATTACAACATACGGTCGCATGCTCGACTCGCTTCCGTCACGAACAAGTTCAAAAAGGATCATTTCATTCGTGCTTCGCCTCAAGACAGTGAAGAAGAAAAATCACAAAGCATAATGGGCTCCGTCCTCTCCGCCCTCCGCGGCGCAACAAAAACCGTCGGCGCCGTCGCGAAGCTCCTCCTGGACCTGAACAAGACGTACCAAGCCCTCCTGGCCCGCGTCAACGCACCGCCGGGCCTGCCGCACGCGACCCCTTCGAGCCCGTACTGGCTCGACGACCCGCCGTTCCCGGAGCTGGCGGACGCGCAGTCGCAAAAGCTGCCGTCGGAGGCGGATGTTGTTATTATCGGGAGCGGGATTACGGGGGCCGCGGTGGCTAGGAGTCTGTATACCGCCGCAGGCGCATCGGATGGAGAAGAAGGGGAGAAGAAGGGACCGAGGGTTGTGGTGCTTGAGGCGAGGAGTTTGTGTGCCGGTGCGACGGGGCGGAATGGGGGACACGTCAAGGCGAGTCCGCACGAGCTGTTTTCGAAGCTGGCAAAGTATTTTGGCAAAGAGGGCGCGGCGAGGTTGACCAAGTTTGCGTTGAGGACTGCCGAGGCTGTGTTGGAGGTTGGTGGGGAGGCGGGCAGGGAAGTGGCCGAGTGCAGACGCGTCGAGACGGTGGATTTCTTCCTCGACGATGAGGGGTTCGAGGCCGGGAAGAAGGAGGTGGAGGAGTTGAGGCGGTGGGTGCCCGAGGTTGAGATTGCGGTGCTGGGGAGGGAGGCGACGAGGGCGAAGTTTGGGGTCGAGGGGGGTCATGTTGCGGGCGGGTTGGTGTATGGCGCCGGCGCGCTGTGGCCGTACCGGCTTGTTGCGAAGATTTGGAAAGAGTTGGTTGATGAGTTTGGGCGCACGTTGAGCTTGGAGATGAATACGCCTGTTGAGGAGGTCGTGGTGGATGGCGAGGGGGGTGGGAGGCCGTATGTTGTTAGGACGGCGAGGGGGGCGGTCAGGGCGAGGCATGTTGTTCATGCTACGAATGCGCATGCGGGACAGTTTTTGCCTGGGTTGAGGGGGAAGATGGCGGGTGTGAAGGCTCATATGACTGCCCAGCGACCTTCGACGACGACACCCTCCAGGCAAGGTACTCAGCAAGGAGAAGGCTTTCAGTGGCCGGATAACACACGCACAGGAAGCAAATCATGGAGCATCATCTACGGCAACGGCGCCTTCGACTACGTGACGCAGCGGCCTAACGGGGACGTGATGCTCGGTGGCGGGTTCGCGCGGAGCGCGGGCGAGGGAGTGGACATGGTTGGCGTGTACGACGATTCCGGGACGGACGGGATGACGATTGCGCATGTTTCTGGGGTCATGAGCGCCGTGTTTGGGACGCGGTGGAGGGGCGATGTGGTGAGGGTTTGGAGTGGTGTTTTGGGTGTTACGGGGGATATGGCGCCTTTTGTTGGGCGGGTTCCCGCGAGTGTTGCGGGGGTCAAGGGAAAGATTAGTTCGTCTGGTTCTTCTTCGTCTACGTCTTCATCTTCTTGGTTTGGGTTGAAGAAGGAGAGGGAAAATGTCAAGGTCAAGAAGGTTGGGAAGACGGTTGATGAGCTGGAGGAGCACCCGTGGATGGGGGCCGAGGCTGGACAGTGGGTTAGTGCTGGGTATTGTGGTGATGGTATGGTCTGGGCTTGGCTTTGCGGAACGGCGTTGGGGGTCATGGTTGCGGGCAAGGAGGATGTTGTGCTGGAGAAGGGGGTTGGGTTTCCTGGTGGTAGATTGGCGGAGTGGTTTCCCAAGGAGTTGTTGCTTACGGAGGCGAGGTTGAGGAAGGCTGATCTGAGTAATTTGGTGGATGAGATATAATGTGATGTATAGGAATGACAGATGATTGCGGTTAGGAATATGGCTAATCTTGATGTTTTCTCCACCTATTGGACACAACTAAGGCCACTACGGACCTTAAAAAAGTAACAAAAGGGAGACTCGAACTGGCAAAATGGCAGACTATAGTGCCTCTGCAAGACGCTGGGTGCAGAGGGCTTAGATAGATTTCAGTTTGCGATCTATGGACGAAGACGTCGCACGCTAGACCACTTGGCCAGAGTGCAGTTGCTCGCCCACCCCGACAGACACTTCAACTTTGCTCGGCTATAGATGGTATGGGCTTTGGGCTCAAGGTTAGAAGCAACCTTGATGGGTTACCTGTTGGTGTGGCGTTGGCTAGTATCAAGCTCATGTTACCTTGACATCCTGTATAAAAGGTATCTGGCCGCCAGGCTGTCTCAAACTATCCGGAAAGTGACTCCCGACCTTATGGTACAGGCTCTTTCTCTGGTTTTTACTATCATACAAAGTCCCTGAGCTCATGCAAGACTGAGATCAAGAGTCTCCTGACTGTATCTGAAGGAAAACCATCAGTACCGCCGCGTATCTATATTCACGTCAGCCATGGAACTTTTATTGGGAGCCAGAGGTTATCGTACGCTGCAGTTGCACCCAGTGCTTCGAAAGGTTTCGCAACCATAGCCAAGGAAAGAACTAAGAGGAAGACGAAGATGAAAACCGTGATAACAGCGAGCTTCGGTTTCAGCTCCGTCAGCGCTTGGAGGATCCATATAGGCGTAATGAGCATCAGAACCCCGATGGCAATGATGACTGTCGAAGCGAAATTATTCATTCGTTTGTCTGAATAGTAAGTGACTTCTTTCTTGTCGTACGTCGCGACCTTCTCCTTTCTATGTCTCCACAGGGAAAGGGTTCGTAGACGAAGAGACCCGTCAATGACTTGTCGTAGCGGGGTCTTTTCTTTCTGAGATAGAGCAACAAGATCCTCCTCGTGATTTAGGTACTTCTGCTCCTCCGCTGAAATGGCGGCATGGTCATGATTGTAATGCCAGTTACGAAGGTTCTTAACATCTCGTCGTGGCGCTATGGACAGCTTCCGGAGTGTATGTTGCTGTATTAGAAATTCATCTAGTTGCTGTCAGCTACGAGAGACAACGCAACTCTTCAAGGGATTTCCTACTATATTTCCCTAGCTTCTTCGAAATCGTTTTGATCAGATCAGACCGTTCCTCCACGTCTTGCCTCAGCGTGCCGTTATCGAAGTCTTGCGCAGTCTTCCCACTGAGTGCATTATCTATCGCCTCTAGCTCATCTTCAAGCTCCGATATCTCATCTTGTAGTGCCAACGCCACGCGTACATTGAGTGAGTCGAACCTTCGAAGAAGAAAAAAATCGTCTTCGGATGTTATGAAATCGGTGTATCCTCTGTAACCAATGTACTTCCATGGCTTTTCTTCTATGTCTTTTTCTGTAGGCCTGTCTTTTCCCTCGGATGTTCTCTGTTCAACTGGTGAATGAGACCTGGGGAGCGTCGATACTGATCCTCCGGGATCCTGATGTATCGACGGTTGTAAAGTCATGACTGTGGATGCTGCATGAGCGGTGTTGTATCATTGTTTGAAGCCACAGACGGTGGAAACTTGCATCCCATATGGCGGAATGAAGGGGTAGATGAGGCAGGGCTAGCAAGGCAGACTCGGGCAAGTAGCTGTGGTCCATTCACAGCCAGTCGTTCGCTGATGAAGGAATTTCTGCGAATAAAGCACAAGTGATTGGTTACAATTACGACAGAATTGCACTTTGGGCTCAAGGCAGCGTCGCATTTTCCCGTAAGCGCTGTGGCTGAATGAGGCAGACCGCCGCCTTATGAGCAGGGCGAACCAGGGCCCGCGTATAGAAAGTGACTGTTGGACGAATCTGCTCGCTTTACAACTGCAATTACATTCTCGTCTTCATTTCTGCCTAAGAATTCCATGAATCTTTGTGTCTCTACGCTGACAGCTTACTCAGAGCGGGAATCGCCATCCATCATGGATTCATCTAGAATGGAGTCTTTGACGATTTCTACACCAGGCGATCCCGAGACAACCCTCGACCAGAATATCCATAATCTCAAGTCATGCCTAAAGCAGAAGCGTCCTGTGATCTCGGAAATACAACAAATCCAAGTTGCACTACCCACGAATCCGGAGAACACCCGAGAGATTTCCGGACACGTGCAGCGTAAAAGCGCTGGAACCTCACGAGCACAGCCACCACCGAGACGGCAACCGCATGTCGCTTCGTCTATCAAAGACTCCAAAACAAGCAAGCGAGAGAAAACCCGAAGAAGACTTGGAAACAGCGAAGACAGCGACTCAGACTCGGACTCGAACTCTGCCCGGCAAGGCAAAGAAGACGAGACTACCATAGCTACGCGCCAAAAAGAGGTTGAGGATGCGGCCTCGTATGAAAATGAACCAGCAGACCGCGAGGCACTGGAGCAAGAAGATAGAGAGAGGATGAAACTTTTCCAAGTGCTGAGGAACGTTGCTCTCAAATGGGAAGACGTAAGCCACGTACGCCGCAATCACCGACGAGAAGGGGGCTTCAGAAGAGAGCAATTGCTCCGTCGTTTCTGGAAGAAGAGGGACAACGTGCATGCAGGACTGATGCGTTCCTCCCGGAATACGGCCGGACCTCGTCAGCTAAATGAGGCTTTACAAAAATTCCACGATCATTACGATGATTCGACCAAATCCGACCGTCTCCGAGAAGAAATCAAGGGATGGGACTCCAAACGACAGGACTTTCTCGACGAGGCTCTCTACGGCGATATCGAGGAGAAGCTCCGTGAACAAAGCCAGAAAAAAAAGCCGGCCAAGACGTTGGAGGAGATCATACTTCGCGTTGAATCAGATCTCATCGACTTTTTTCCCGTATTTGACCGTCCTTGGCGTGGTTGGGGACTGCAACCTCACGAGAGGTCCAATTTCGATCCTGCCAATCATGAGAGGTATTTCCTAAGAGAGAGTCTCAATAGCAAGGTCAGCTCTGAACAGCGCCTTGCCAGCATTCTCGGGGAAATGTACTTGGAGTGGTGGATTGAGCTGGTACAGGCTCCCAACGGACCTCGAGTTGGTCTGCGTGAGATGATCACTGCTCGCCTGGACTCCTTTTACAAGACTCACAGACTTTCGGACGAACTTTCTCGAGTTCGGAGTTTTCTTATCGAGCCCTATCTGGAAAGGCTCAGTTCCGGCATTTCCCATGCTTTGGAACTCGCTTTAGAGTCGGGGGTCTCTCCCGAGGCGTCGATACATCAATTCCCGGACCATTTGGACGTCATCCAGATCATCAAAGAATCACGAGTCAACGGGTCTCTCACACGCGACTACATGGATTGGATAAGCTCAGATTTGAGTGCTGAAGATATCGAGAGTATCTGCGAGGCATGGAAAATAACGTTGAGGACTGACACATGTAACACGTACCGGAAAACCATGGCGTCGATCGTCGACATTCGACAAGAGTTTTGCCTTGGCGTTCGTGAACCTGGAGTCGTCTCTTTGATTCTCTTGAAAGGAGGCTATCCTGCAACAGTCAAAGACGTTTCGGCAGAAGAACTGGAGAACATGGGCTGGTTTAAACATGAGAATGGAGGCTATTGGCGGTATGAATATGAGAGCGCCTACTGGAGAGGCACAAAGTCGGGAGAGATGGCCATCTTTCGTGTAACCATGGAAGGGGAAGTTCAGGGCATGCAATCGCTTAATGGTGACTGGGTCCATTGGGGTGATCGTGAAGATACACAGGAAGAGTCTTTTCACAGTCTACCTAGACAGCTCTGATAGTTGCTCTTTGCCTGATGAGATGTCCTGAGTGGATGAAGTATCGCAACTTGATATTGAGGGTTTTTAATTGAGGTTCAGAGGCTGATGCATGCGACGGGATTAGGTGTATTCATCTTTGAGGTACATCTTGCGCAGGCAGCAAATATCGCGTGTTTTTGGGCTCAAGATAGACCGTAATCACTTCGTTATACCACCTACCTAATGATCATGTAGATATTGCGTGAGACCATAGTGATATTTGCCTTTGCAAGATTTCCCTGCCCTTGAGATCGGTCAATTGGCGAAGAAGCATCCACACTTGGTCATTTCTGGTATGCATGTATCATAAAGATAGAACTCATAAGAATGGATCTTACATGCACTCACCGGATGGACGTTGGCATGCGTGGGGAGTGGTTTCTAGAGACCTTTCCAGTGTTTAGAGTGGCGTCCGGCCTCTCGAAGGCGGTGTCTTCCTCCATTTCTTCAGAGTCTATTTGAGAGATCATGCCTTGCAACCTGAGCCTTGTCGAAATTGTTCGCGTTGTGAGGTCGCTCCAGCCTATATAAACCAGACGACCCCGCCGACTTCCATTCTATTTTAGGCCGTCGGAGGTGCCAGGCTCTCCTTTTGAGGTCTGTTGCCGTCCATGGGGAGATCCGACCTTGCGTTGGTTGAGGTTTGATCTTGTGAACATTTATGCTTCAGAATATATTACGGTCCTGCGAGATACGACCATAATGCCACCTCCAGATCGTCAGCACTCGCAACTTGGAGGTATGTATTCGCGAGTGTACAAGCATACAGGGGCAGGAGTCCCCAGGGCCCACTTGCGACCGCCTAAACCTGGAAGCTCACGCGACGTTGCCGAACCGTGGAGCTTCCGGGGGGGGGGGGGGGGGTGGCTACCTCAGGTTGTTTGGTTGTTCAGCTTTCGGGGTCCGCCCACCCTGCTGCGGGGTAGCTAAAGACAATGTGACAATGACGTCCCCAGTAAAGGCAAAGCTTCCCGTTGGAACATTTCCCCCCTCCTTCCGTCCCCCTCCGCTGGCGTCCGCATCGTGGGGCTTCTTTCCTTCAATAGCGCCCTTCGTTCGGCGTTTGAATCACCTCATTCCCAAACTGGACCTTCAGCCCAATTTTTTTCTTCTCTCTCTTCTTCATCGGCCCGGTCGCCCACTTCAAATCCCGTCCTTCCTCCGCGGGAAACTACATTGTTATCTAAATACCTCTAATACACCGCTTCAGCTGAACTGACTCACAGTACAAGGTATCCATACAGCTCGGATACCATCGCTTCAAGCATTCTCGCTGGATCTAATCCATTAAGGACTCTACACCGAGCATCCAACGCCCAAATCTCACCACTTACAACCATCACCATCACCAACATCACCAACATCACACACCCGCAAGACCACACCCCATACAAACCGCCAAAATGCCTCCAATCCGCCTCGCAACAGCATCCCCCGCAACAGCAGCAACAACATCCCAAACCCTCTCCGACATCTCCACCCTCGCCTCCCGCGCCTCCTCCTCCGGCGCAGACCTCCTCCTCCTCCCCGAAGCCTACCTGGGCGCAGGCTACCCCCGCGGCGCCTCCTTCGGCTCCAAAATCGGCTCCCGCGCCCCCGAGGGCCGCGACGAGTTCCTCGCCTACTTCAACGCCGCCGTCGACCTCGGCGACACCGTCGGCGACGCGGGCGCCGGCGGCGGCGACAGGTGGGTCAAGAAGGAGCTCCCCGCGCAGCACGCCGCCGGTGCCAAGGTCGAGAGGGGCGACGGCTCGAGGGAGGAGCTGGAGAAGATTGCCGCGCAGACGGGCGTTTTTCTGGTCGTCGGGTGCATTGAGCGCGCCGGCGGGAGCTTGTACTGCTCCGTCGTCTACGTCTGTCCCAAGCTGGGTATGATTGGGAAGAGACGCAAAGTGATGCCCGTGGGTTCCCCTCCCCCCTTCTCTTCGATATAGTACCACCGCGACTGACACCATCCAAAAGACCGCAACAGAACGCCTCATCTGGGCCCAAGGCTCCCCCGCGACCCTCCGCGCCGTCTCCACCACAATCAAGGGCGTCCGCATCAACCTCGCCGCCGCAATCTGCTGGGAGAGCTACATGCCCCTCCTCCGCCAGTCCCTCTACGCCCAAAACATCAACCTCTACCTCGCCCCCACCGCAGACGGCCGCGACACCTGGCTTCCCCTCATGCGCACCGTCGCCTGCGAGGGCCGCTGCTTCGTCGTCTCGTCCAATATGGCCGCCAGGCCCCTCACCACCACCTCGTCATCACCAGCAACGACCACGACGACGGCGGCGGCTGCAGCAGCATCAGACAACGACAGCGGCATCGAAGACGCCCCGGACGCCCAAATCTACCCCCCTCGCGCCCGCCGCAACTCGTGCCTCACAGAAGACGGCAACGAGATCGCCCTTCCCGGCGCCAGCAACGGTACCAGCACAAACGGCACAAACAAGACAACGACAAAGGCCACGACCTCGACGAAACCGGCCCTCGAATCCAAAGACTGGGTCTCCCGCGGCGGGTCCTCCATCGTCGGCCCCTTTGGCGACGTCCTCGCCGGGCCGCAGTGGGAGGACGACGAGGGCATCATCTACGCCGACGTCGACTTTGAAGACTGCATTCGCGGACGCTTGGACATTGACGTCGGGGGGAGCTACTCGCGCAACGACTCCTTCAAGTTTTCCGTCGAGGGCCTGGACCTGGATCCCCTGCCGTATTAAAACAATGCTAGTCCAGCTGTAAGTACTTATCAAGACTGGCATATAAGTAATCACCAAACTTGATAATTGGGTAATCAATGGCAAAAACCAAGAAAGTACGATAATCAGACCTCGTTCGTAATGCATGTATTCCCGTCAATGCTCAACTCACGGCTAGCTGGCTGCGTATGAGCCCCGTGAGGGTAATATCCATGAAACCGCCCCCAATCCCAAGTACCGAACCATCCCAGCCCCCCTCCCATGATGCCAGCCAAACACCCAAGCCCCAGACTCATTAATGCGAGAAAATGGTCGTGAATAGTGATGGAATATTGTATTTAGCGCTCCTCGTCGTCCTTGGCCCGATTCGTACCGTCGCTCCTGTCTTCCGTTCCGCTCTTCTCCGAGGTCTCTCTTGGACTAGTCAACGGACTGGTCACGCCGCCGATGCTCCCGCTGATGCTGTCAGACCGGCTGTGGCCCAGCAGCCCGCTCCGAACGCTCGCTCCGTCCCCAGTGCCGCTCTGCTTCGCATAAAAGCTGTTTCGGTCGCCCGGTATGGCGGGAGCGACACCAGTGGCCGAGTATATACTAGTGCGTTCGGCGTTGGCTATACGCGAGCTGCTTTGGTGAAGCCCCGGGGTTGTCGGCATTCCCGCACCCTGTTCGATGTTGGCGCTTAGGACGCTCAGAGGAAGGCTCTCCCGGCTACCGCCCCAGAGGGAGGAAGGGGCCAGGGCACGGACAGAGGCATCGGTATCGAGTGAGCGACGGCGACGACGTTGCGATGAGGACGCTAGGGTGATGATGGATGCGTTATCGGTAAGCAGGTTGTTGGCCGTAGCCGTTGTGTATGTTTGGGGGTTGCCAGAGGCCGACCCCGCAGGCGCAAGATGGGCGGGGATGGCAGATGCGGGCGGTGCTGTTGGGAATGGTTGGTTGAAATGGATGGATTGGGTGTGACCCTGGTGCGATGTGTGGTTGCCGTTGTTGGTCGGGTTCGTTGGCACATGGGTGCCGCCGTTGTTTGGCGTCATGGACTGGATTGTGGTCAAGGTGGTCGTCAATGACCGCACTGACGGTGCTGGGGATGAAAATGTGCTGTCTCCCCCTCTGCGAGACTCGACGCCTCCAATGGTTCGACTCGTCCCTGCCACGGATGGAGCGCCGTGGGACGGGGCGACTAGGGAATGAGCGCCATCGTGATCAGTCGAAATCGTGGGGGCCATGGATCTTGCGCCGGCGGTGGGTGGGGCGCGACCATCGTCGGAGGACATTCGAGAAGACATGCGAGAGGATCGTTCAATCGAGGTTGCGCTCCCGCTCAGAGCGGTCGAGAATGAATATGAACTGGTTTCGACGTCGACATCGGCATGGCTAGCGGAGCCTACTCGGCCTGATTGAGGATAGGGGTTGTTGTTCTTGGAGGCTCGCATCTTTGCGTGGAGTTTGGCCTGTTGGCGCTTGGAGCTGGGAAGGCGAACGCCGCCTCCATCGCTAGAGGATGAGCTTTTGAAGTTGGTGAGCTTCTTGACCCATGTGGAGAAGGGACGGCGGCGGCCAGCACGATCGGGACGATCTGCCATGTTGTCAGTTTATTGTGCGGTTGAGGAGACTGACCACACGGCATGGGCTGGAGCTGCCGAAGGATTGCGCCTTGGGCAGACGGCAGTCGCAGCGATAAAGCAGATGCGGACAGAAAGGTAGGCTATAATTACCGTGCGGCTGCAGCGCGGCCTCGGTTGTAGCCATTCGGTCGCCTTGCTGGGTTGGTTTTGTCGCAGGGGATTATCTGCCGGAGATGGTTGCAAAAGGGGTATCAGTGGAAGAAGTCGAGTGGTGAGATACGGCGAAAGATGAGGCGGTAGATGGAAGTCGGGGCGTAGGACTCGAGCTGGAGAAACGAGCGGGCGTTCAAAAGAGCGTGCAGGAGGGGGGGGGGGGGGGGGGGAGGAGGGGAGAGGGGGGGGAGGGGGGGAGAAGGGGGAGGGGGGGGGGGGGGGGGGGTGGGGGGGGGGGGGGGGGGGGGGGGGGGGGGGGGGGGGGGGGGGGGGGGGGGGGGGGGGGGTAAGGAGAAGCGTCAGTCGACGGAAGAGTCGGGTTTTCGGGAATGAAATGGATGAGTCGGGAAGGTTGAAGGAATGTGAGCAAAATGCGGTGGTCGAAGATCGAGATGGGAGGAAGGTGTGCGGTGTACGGTGTGTCGGGGTGAGAGTGGTGGTTAGGTCGAAATTGAGAATGGGAGGAGCGAGAGCAAAGAATGAGATTGAGAATGGAAATGGAAATGGGAAGGG